AAATACGCTGAAACTCAGTTTCAGCCAGTGTAGTCGCCTGACGGAAGCTTTGAATTTCAGCTGAAACAAGACAAAACCTATTACTGAACGACACCGTGGGGCCGAACAGACGCACGGGGCGAGCCTCCAGGCACCAGACCAGGTTCTGCGGAGGGGGTTCCGCCTAGTGAGCACGCCTCACGTTTGCAGGGATCCGGTGTAAGCATCCCCCGTTCTGGTGTCTGTTCACAGCGTCAGGCAGCGTTTCTTGTTCGATGGGTAAGACAGCACGGAGCTCATGTGCTGCTAAGTCAGGCCTGCTTCCGGCTCACTTCCAGCTCCGGGAGGGAGCGCGTGGCGGGGCTCCTTAGGGCTCCCCCCTCACCCCGCATGTGTCTGTGCGCCCAGGGACGGTCCAACTCACTTCTGTCAGCCTCACTCGGGTCCAGTGACTAAGACAGAGCCCGAGAGCACACAAGGACCTGCCGCCCGGCCCAGGGAGCTGGACCCGATGCCCATAACAGCCTCTGACGCAGCCCAGGGAGCTGGACCCGATGCCCATAACAGCCTCCGGCGAAAAGGAACACATGTGTGTGACAGAGTCACCAGGCCGCACACAGCACTGCAAGTCAACTCCACTCCAATAAAGGCAACTAAATAAGCGCATGTCCGTATGTGGGGCCTACGGGCTCGAATCCCCAGCCTTTCCGGGGCCAGCGCGCAGGGTCCGGCCTCCCGCGGCGCGGCCAGAAGCCCGGTGGTCGCCCTCCCTTCTGTCGCGGGTCTGAGCTGACAGCGTCTGCCGGAGCCCCCTCCCCACTGACCACACGCACTGGCAGCTGCGGGCTCTCCCTTCCCAGGCGGATCCTGGGCCTCTGGAGGCAGGCGTGTCCTGAACATGTTTTTAAACACAAACCTGTTGGGAGCACAAAAGCCGTTAGCAGGAGAGATGCTCCCGCCCTGCTCCTCACAGCGCACCAGAACCCGCCGCCCGCGAGCCACGCCGAGGCCATGCGGTCTCTGCGTCTCCTTCCCAGGACAGCTTCTCCCCTCCCGGAGACGAATGAGCCAGGAAACTAAGCAACCACCCAACTACCCCACAAACACGCTGGTCTCCACACGGGCCTCTCACGGGTGGAATCACGCACCTCCAG